TTAAAAAAAAAAAAAAACAACAAAAAAACCAAACCGAAAAAAACAAAACCCCAAACAAACCCCACCCTAAACAAACAAACAAAAAACCAGAGCCACTTATAGATCAGCTAGCATATCAGAAACACTCAAATCCATGAATTCCAGCATTTAGATGGTAAACTGTTAAGAAGAACTAAAAAGTTCACGTGTTCTGTTTATAAAATCCAGTGTGTGTTTTCTTGCTTTTTAGACACCCAGCTTCAAAAATTGTAGAAGTCTCTTGGGAAGTAGGAACTAAAATAACTTGAAACTCATTGGAGCCTTGAGTTACCTCTCAGACCATCCTTGCCAGTCACCCTTCCAAACTGCTTACTGATTCTGACGGAAAGCACATACTTTTACAGGATGAAGATTACATCCTATAGCCATCCTAGAGGAGCTAAAAGGTACAGCAATTTTCTACCACCAGACTGAAACTTACTCCTAATTCTTTTCCCTAGCATATTAGTAATTTGAATGAAACTACCTAATAGAAATCAGATATAAATGAATGTGTAAGGGTTAAGTCTTATTCAGTGGGTTTAAAACAATCAAGAATCCCATCAGAATATATATTTACACTACCTGTTTATTTCCTTTGGCTCTCTTCAAAAATTCAGCCTTAAAGGGATATCTTGGCTACTTAATTGAATAACAACTGACAGTATTTGAATGGGAGAATGTGCCCATAGCTGAAAAAAGAAGATGTTTATATTACATTAAGCAGGGAAATTTAAGTTACACTGTCAGTAAAAGTAATTATATTGACCAAAAGGAAGTTGCTCTACTGTGAAGACTTTTGGGAGATGATGAAATCAATTGTAAATTTGATAAGGGAAAAAGAGTGGAAGTCAAAAACATTGAAAACATAGGAGGGGAAAATGCAAAATCCTCTCCTACAGAATGTTTTATGTAAAGCCCTTTTGAGTCTCAGATATTCTTGATTTTGGATGCTGCAAGTTAGGCTCTACATATCTGTGGCTTCTTAAAATGAATTAAAACAAGTAGAAAATAAAAGTACATTATATAGTAGAATTTCTACAATTAACACAATAAACCAAAAAAAAAATGCAACATCAAACAGAGTTATTTTACCAATTAATTTTAGAGAGTTAACACCATTTTGGCAGCTCTGAGAAGTACAAAGTTTAAAAGCTTCATTAGAAACCAGGAGGGTTTCTTGGGGGAGTTTACATTGGGTGTTTTTTGGGGTTTTTTTGTTTGTTTGTTTTGGGGGGGTTTTTTGTTTGTTTTTGGGTTTTTGTTTTTTTTTCAGAAGCTTCAGTAAAATAGGCAGCAACCAAAAGGACAAGACAATTTAATCTGTTCTATGCTTTATGTGTCTTGAAGTTATTGCTTATTACTATAATAGAATTTTGTAAAGTAGAATAGGCAGATTAAGAGCCAGTAGGATGCACTAGAAGTTACCATGCCAAGAGCAATTTAAATAAATATGAAATTCTTTCTCTCATAGATAATGAAATGTTTCTCTCTTTCTTAGTTCTAGACTAAACTGACAGTTTATATAAGAAAAAGAAAAATGTATTAACATGGCAACTGGTTTACACAGAAACAAATAACATATTTCCTTTTCAATACTATTGAATTTAAATTTGTCCAGCATAATGCCAGACAATCTGGTCAGGCAATCTGCTTTTACAACCCATTTACTACACAAAGTTAGCACATCCCAAGGGGATAGAAGAAATTGTTTCAGTCTATCATGGTGCATTCAGATTTCTTTCCAGGTGAACCTAACTACCAAGGAGCCATTTAGCCAAAGGGACATGTGGTTCTGCAGTGTGTGAGCAGAGGACTACTCACTTGTCCTGCATGGAGACTTCCTATTCATATGAGAGAAAATACTTAGCCTGATATATTCCCATTAAAATGGGCCAAAAATACAATGTTTTTCCTGGTATAATATCTTCTGTCATGACAAAAGCAATCTCTTCTTTAAGAGCAAATGTGGTTTAGCCCTATTTGAGAGTCATTCTGTCACTTAATAAATAAATGTTCTAAATTTAAAACTGCTGCCTCCATTAAGGTATGTTGTTTACTTGTATCTTATTAATAATTCTACTACTAAACTTAATATTGCCCAGGCAAATAAGCATCCAAAATTCAGCCTCTAATAGGATCTTAGTGAGAACTTCAAAGAGAAAAAACAATCACTTTCATTTTTGTCAAATCTCAGGTGTAACTTCAAATATCAAACTCTTAATGACTTACAAGCACCACCAATGGGCATCAAAACCACAGGTCCTTATTTAAGTGAATGGTTCTGTAATAATGCATTTTCCTTATCTTGCTGATACTCCTGAAAACAGCTGCATTTGCGATAGAAACATATGCTTGAAATCCTAACAAAAAATACGCTGAAATTTCCACAAGTAATCAGCTCTAAAAATCATATCACACTGAACCATGAAATAGAAAATGTACCTGAAATTTAGTGCAAAATTCAACACTTACGAGTTCCGCTGATTCTGTTATCTGCTCCATTTACATGCCAATCTACACCCCTACTTAAAAAGGTTTCTCTTAAAACCCTTAAAATAATCTACTCCAGCACTTCTTTTACAGCACAAGTTGATTTTACATGTGTCTTGAGCAATAATTACTCAACACCAAACCATAGCCATTAAATTGCTACCATCCAAAGGTAAATTATACAAATCAGAATTATGCAAAAATCTTTTTTCTAGTTGCTATTATTTCTATATTGTGCAACTCTCTATTAGATTTCATTATGTGAGGATGAAATTATCTTGGTGTTGTTATCAAAAAAACCCCACAGCAAAAGATAGAGGCTTGTGTCACTGATGAGCTATTTGTTGCTTTTAACATTTATTAAGGCACCTGAAAAACAGAACGCAAGAATTGTAGCTGGAATCCTCTCTCCCAAAAAAAAGCATTTTTCTTACAATCCATGAAAAGTCATGCAACTGGCATTTGGAAATAAATACTTAGCTTCCTACTATAGCAGCTTTGGGATCTATTTCCCTCAGTAGGTATACATAGCACAGCCCACTACTCCTTCTTTTTCCAAGCCTCTCTTATATAACAGACTGCAAAAACCATCTCTGAACAATGTGATCAAGATGTGATCTTCTCTTTTGGAACTACAACATTCAACATAATCACAGTCAACCCAGTCCCAAGCTATTAATCAACTTCTTACTAATGACGATGATCGATTGCAAGTTCTCTGCAGTTTTGTAGCTGATAGTCAGTCAAGGCTCCCAAAGGATCATGTAATTCACAGACCCAAATGAGACAGCTTCACCAGCTCTGCTCAGAAATTAGTCTTACAAGGGTATTTGATCATGATATAATGTTTTGCTTAAATATCACAGTCATTCTAGGTGCTTGGGTTTAGTGTTGGGGCTCCTCCCCAGATAACCTGTGTAAAGGCAACAAAAGCCCTAAAGCCACTTGAGTCTCACAGGCCCACAAGTAGGATATACAGCAGCTTTCTTTGGAGACCCGTCCCTTAAGCCCTTTGTGCCATATCATTTTTACTCTGCTAACTAACTAGGCTGTCTGAAAAAGATAAACCCAGCCTACATCAGTTACATAATCAGTTGATCTTTTTTTAAGACAGGATTAATATATCCTGAAGTACAGAATGATTACAGATTTTTTTTTTTCCCTCTCTTGATTTTGCAAAAGACACAACAGACTTACATAAACTCCATATAATTCTGGGTTGTCCTCCCTCTTTCTTGAGGTACCTAAGTCTTGACGTACCCTATGGAAAGGTTTGCTATAAAGCAAAGCTCAGGCTGACTCACTGTTTTCACCTTACATATAGGCTACCTATAAAGACTGTGAAAATAAACCCACCACATGAAGTTTTTACGTTACCTTGTTATTGCCAATAAAAAGGCATACATGTTTTAAGGGACACAGATATCAGTTACTACAGTCACTAAAGTTAAGAGCTGGGTGCTTAATAAAGGAGCCTCTTCATTTCTAAATATTTCTTCCAAGTTTTGGATTTTTCTTTTCTGTAAAGCATAGGGTTAACCGTGACACCCTGAATCCAAACAAAGCACACACTATACTGTAGCACACTCTTCGGTGTATTCGTCCTTCCAGTCCCTCCAGGGGAAATTTACCACGGTTTCTAAAATTATCCCTCTAAAGGATTTTTTTCGTTTTTTTCAAAGATCCCTGGCCAGATGAATTTGTGTATTACATGTACTGCCTGTGCCGCTGCACCTCCTTCCTCTGTGGTGACTTGATTCAGCTGGAGCTACGATTTGACCGATCGATGCAAGCACATTACACACCAGAATAAGAGTAAGATAAGGGTAAAGGAAAGAAAAGCATCTCTCCTTTTAGCCATTAAATATAGATCAACGAAATATCACAGCGCACATCGCGGCTCCCCTCCCCACCCCCTCCGCCCGCTCCTCGAGCGCAGGATTTCGCAGACGGTGGCTTCAAAAGAGGAGCACACACCCCACACTCCCCTCCGCACACACACACACACAGACACACGCACAGACACACGCAGCAGCCGTCGCTCGGAGCCGCCCCAGGGCGCGGGCTCCGCGCAGGGCCGGGCGCTGCCCCCGCCCGCGGGTCCCCGAGCCCCTTCATCTTCTTTCTCCTCTTCTTCCTCCTTCTTCTCCCTGGGCCCATGACTCCACCGCCGTAACGAGCACGTTAGTGCAGGGCGTCGGCAGACACGGTATCGCGGATGCCCTACATAAGCAGCGACTAACGTAGCAAGAAAGGGAGGAAAGAGATGGAGGGGGGAGGCCCGGGAGAAAGAGCCATGAGGAAATAACGCACTTTGTTACCTTTCGGCTGAGGGCATAAACACCGCTCCTTGCAGCCCAACCCAGCCCGGCTGCCTCGCCGAGAGGAGCAGCGCAGGACCCCGCACCAAGAAGAAATATCACGCAGGCGGGAAGGGTGTGTGGTGGGAAGGGGGGACCTGGCACCATTACGGTGCCTGTCGTACTCACCGATCGGCACCGATTCAGCCTGCTTGCTCCCAAATATATACCAAAACCGAAGAGCAAATCCTCACTCCGCCAAGCGAGAATGAAGCGGGGTAACGGCGGGTGGGGGAAGGGGGGGGGGGCGAGCGACGGCTCCGGGCTTCAGTGCAAGGTCCTGACCTTGCCCAGCTGCAGCATCTTCGGCTTGCCCCCCCCCAGGGCGTGCATGTGCACCCGTGTGTCCCCGTGTCCGTGCGAGCGCGCCGATCCAGCTCCAAGGGGCTCGGCCGCAGGACAGCTGTCCGCTGGCTGCCGGGGCGAGGAGGGCTCGGCATCCACCGCCCCGCCGCTGGGGCGAGGCGCGGGGCCGCTGCGGCGGTGGTGGCTGGGGCAGGCTGCGCAGCGGCGCCGTAGCGCAGCGCGCCGGGCGGGCGCACTGGCCGCGGGATGTGGCCGAAGGAGACACAGGCGCCGCCGCAGCATCTGCCTCCGCCGCGCTCCCGCCCGCCCTGCCTCCCTCCCGCCTGCCTCCGCCCCTCCCGGCCCGTCCCCTCCCCAGCAGGAGCGCGCCCGCCGCGGCCGAGCAGCCGGCGCTGTGGGGGACAGAGGGGGGCGGGCGGCCCCGTTACCGATAAGGCGCTGCCGCCTGTGCCGGGCGGGGCTGAGGTAGGGCCGGGCCGGGTCCCCCAGCCTCGCCGCAGAGGGGCGCGTCCCCGTGTTCCCTCAAAGCCCCGCGGCCGGGGCGGCTCTGATTTACTGGGGAAGGGGAGGCAGGGCGGAGGTGTGGGAGCGCACTCTGGGGCGGGGGTAATAGATGGGGAGCAGCCCCTTGGCAGTAACCGCGGCTCCTGCTGTCATGGGTTGGAAACTTGAGGTCGGCCAGCCAAAACCGTGACAGCAACAGGGAAGCCAGAGCTCGTTCCCCGGCTCGTGCCTACCTCGGGTCTCTCTTCCCATGCTTGGGAAACCTAGGTGGAAATCCTACCGTGTTTTCAGAAGTCTTCTTGCGAACAAATAGGGTAAGGAATATGGAAGTCATGTTTTATTCCTGCGCACGCTTAACCCTTCGTTGAGAAACTTGTGTGGAATGCAATTGCAGCACTCACCTGAAAGTTGCCACTCCATAGCTCCTTTCAACTCGCCGCTCGGAGTTTTGGTACCTAAACAAAACCACCCAATTTTTCGGGGTTGTTTCCCAGGGTAACCTCTGCTAATTCACTCTCGCAGCAGGCTGAGCATCAGCACGGCACTGGGGACAGCCGCGGCCAAGGCGCCCGGCCAGGGCCTACAGCCGGTCATTTATTGCCCGAAATCGCGGTCCCAGCAACTGCCCCCTAGGGAGGGATCCGCGTGTCCCTGGGCCATGGCCAGGGGCGGCCAGGCGGGCCGCTCCCGCGGGACACGGCGTTTCCATCTCTTCTCCCCGCGCCCCTCCAGCCCCACACCGCCGGGTAAGTCATGCCGGGCCCCGCAGCGGCACCTGCGGCCGGGCCGAGCCGAGGCGGCAGCGGTACGTCTTGACAGCCGTCACCTGGCTACACGGCGACTCGCTGCTGCCACCTCTCGCTTGGCGTTCTCGCAACTTCCCCGAACTCTGCTGCGAGCAGGGGATTCGCCTGGCTGGGGGTCCCACTTCTCACCGTCGGATGGTTGCGGTGGCTACCCCTCCCTTAATGTCACGGGAAGGCCGGAGGCTGCGTCTTCTCAGTGCCAGAATGCTTTGTTTTAGGCCTGAGGTCACTTTTTGGAGGGACAAGGGGGGTTTATTACCATATTTTTTGGACCATATAGATTACTAGTATGTGTCCTTTCCCTGAGTTGGGTGAAGGTGGGCCATCCACCTGTGACAAAATCGGTAAGTTACAGCTTAGGGTGATTCAGCCTATCAGCCCCCCTCAATGCCAATCTGGATTTTGCCCAACTAATAGGACTTGTAAGAAGTGTACCTCTGGGCTCTAGTCTAGAGTAAACCCAAAACCTCATTGTCAGGTTGTGGTCTGGCATGTCTTGATACCTACTGAGTTGCAAGTATAGAGGGGAGCTTGCTGGTGGCAAAACACAGTGGACAGTCCAGTCTTGACTCGATTAGAGAAGCAACCAACTAGCCCATTGTCCGAACTTTTGGTTGGACCAAAAGTTCATTTTTTCTACAAAGTGCAAGACCCTGGGTTTGTGATTTCCAGCCTGAGACAGACATGTAACTCTGAACTGAAAGTAGTGGATCACTCAGTAGTTACCTGGAGTCACTGTCTTACAGTTAAACTTCAAGATGTACTTGATAATGAAATTACTGGGTGCTACAGTATCATAGATATGCCATAGCATCATGTGATCCACTTACTGCAGCCCAGGCTCTTTTTCAGAGCCGAAACATCTTTCTGTCAATAAAGGTAAAGGAGATTGAAAGACTAGAAGTAGGCTGTGTCCTCCTTCCATTCCCCCTCAAATATTCCCGTGTAATAGGGACAGTTCATGGCCCTGGGGACTGTACACATCTGACCTAATTGTAGGATAAGCAGTGTGGGCTAGTGAAGAATGAACCTAAGACATCTGATTCTCCCCACGCTGCAAAGGTTACCCAGCTGGCTATACTGATCTGACTAGTTAGTATGGAAGCTGAAATGTAGACTCTCTGTAGGGAAAGTGAGGCCTGGAGACAGAAGGGTTTTGCAAGAATATGGGAGGTGTCCGAAATCAGTTTTTCTCTCACAAAGTTTCCTCCTTTCACATCAGTTTTGCATGAGAGGGATTTCATCTCAAGATGCTGCAAGATTCAAAAAGCTTCTCCTTTTCCTGTCACTTTCCTCTCTGATTCTCCCTGCTGCATCACATTTCAATGTTCCCTGATACCAGGTGAGGTCAGAGAAGGGGCCAGGACCAAGCCCTGCTTATGGATGTGGAGAAACATAAAAAGGCAATTAAATCAGGGTTCAATATTACTTTTTTACTGCTGTTGCTGCTGTCACAGAGGAAGAGTAAGGCAGATCAGTGACGGTTAAGAATGTGGAAAGCGGTGAGATCCACTTCTGGAAGAGGCTGCATTCCGCACAACTTCTGGAAGAGGTCTGCCAACTTTATTCTCAGACTAAACCTCTTCTTCTGACAAGCCAAAAGCTTATGCAGGTGGAAGCTCTTCACTTTTTTGGTCAGTCCCAGACTTCTTTGATATAGACAGTCTGTTTTCTCAGGCTTCTCAGGTCTGTACCTAGAAGTGGGGCATCTATCCTTATCTTTGGTTAACTCCCCTGAGTGTTTGTTCAAGTTGGAGTTTTTTATTTTTTTCCTTATAAAAGATGGAAAAATAAAAGGAAATTATCATATCAAGGCAGATATTTTCTAGCATGGGAGCTGTAAAAGCATCTTTGCCATTTATATTTACCTGTTAGATTTACAAAGGTTCTTGAGCCTCCCATTTCTATTTGATCAAAGAAACGGCAAGTAAAAATTTTACAAAACAGAGAAAAACAAGTAGTAATATGAATAGAATTAAATGGAGTAATAGAATTTTCAGATAATTAGTCCTCCAAATGACTGTATTATGAGAAACAATAGCAGTAACCAATTTTTCAAGTTTAGGCTCAAAGGTTCCATTTTGGAATACCTGGTTACCAGTGATAATTTTCCCATCCTGCTAACTAAAAATATGTATTTTTCTTTGTGAAAAAGTTAATCATGAGGTAAAGGATGAAGCTAGCAGTGGAGGTACCCAAGGAAAAGTCCATTTGAGTCAACAATTGAGTCAACAGTCAGGACGAGTCATCTAAAATATGGGATACCTATATACTAGTGGTGTCTGCATGTTCTGTCTCAAATCATATTTAATTTTTGTTTGATTCTTCTTGGAATGGAGTTTGGAAGCTTGAATTTTTGGACAGAAAGGAAAACATTTATTTTCTGTTTTGACTTTCTTTAAGATTATGTTTAAATTTAAATGTATACTTCATGTGAAGATTGTTGAGATCCTCTGTCATGGACCAGGTCCAACAACTTCTTTTTTCACGCTGAAGTCAATGGGAACTTTCCATACTAAAATGTAACTGAAGTGAAACTAGGTTGCATGTTTCAGGCAATCTTTAGACTATCTAGAATAAAATTGGGAAAACTTGTTTTTGCTTTTTTTAATAAACTGAAAAAATCAGTCAAGTATAAATAGTTTTTTGGTTTAGAGCTATATTTCAAAGAAGTTCTTGCAATTACTGTCTTATCCCTTTCTAAGAATTATTTCAAGGTGAAATTATTAAAAAAATGTTTACAACTTCCACTGAAATACATTTCAGACAGGAAAGAACATGTTTCTCGAGTCACACAGTATGGTATCTTAATAAAACTAAGCTGGTAATGAGTTAAAATAATTGGTCCAAATTTCTTCTATTTTATTTGACTTTGATGTTATCTTCAAAAAGTCAAATCATCCTTGAATTATAGTAATACTATGTGTATTTTCCATTTCTCCTAAATTGTCTCAAAATATTTTATAACAACAAAGTACCTGTAAATCCTGGAATGAGGATGATTTTCTATGCCACAATGATGACATGAAAAGAGAAGGTTTGCATGATTGTATTTGCAAAGCTTGCATTCTGATCTCATGAAAATATTTTTTAAACAGAAGTCTCCTAAAGAAATAGAAGGTATTTTCAATTCTGAGGCACAGCTGGCTTTGACTCAGTCTGATTATGAGTAAATTATAGTTGAAGTGCTAAGCTTGACTGGCAATAGGAAGATACAATTGAATTTGTAGTACCTGCAGATTTTGTAAATGAATGTGTATTTGCATTGGAGAGTTGATTTTTATGTACTGAAGACAACTCACATCCCTAGGACCTGACTGAGATTTTCTTATTCCCAGCTTCATCCATTGATGACCAAATAGGCAGTAATGAACAAAATCTCTCTGAAACAGCTGTATTAAAATACTTTTGGACCTACCTTGCTTTAAAAAATCATTGTAAAAATTATTGTCTAGTGAATAGCTGCCATTGGTTTCCTAAACAATTTAGCATTTTGAGCATGTCAGATTTACACATGAAATTATACAAAAGGTAAAAATTTCAATTGAATTCAATGGTGTGTGTCAGTCACGATCAATCAGAGCTCCTCTTCAAGGTATAGTGAGGGAACTACATTTATAATAATAAAACTTCATTTAAGTGTTCCAGATTAAGGAGCTACTTGGAGT